TGTACATTTGCTGTCATGTTAAACTTATATTAAAGTTTTTTTTTTTCATTACCCATTTAAGCCGTCTCCAGCCATTATTAGTCTCAAAGTGGGTTCCTCGTCATCGAATTTGCTTTTCTTATTAATGAACAAGTGGATATCGAAAAAGAAACTATAAATTAGAATGTTGTCCATAATGTTAATACAGAAATCATTCCATGTTTAGAACTATATATTTATTTCATTATTTTGTATAACGTGACACAACTTAACAGTCGCGAACCACATAACATCAGCCCACACGTTTGGACGCATCACTGATGACGCTCCTCATAGATGTCACATCCCTTCCCCTAGTGACATAAATTAGAACTATCCGTCACTAGTGGCACATTTTGAAATTATCCTCTCTCTGGCGCCAATCTTTGGAATTATGATGTCATAGGTCACATGACCTTCCTACCTCAAATGATACCCACATTGGGCGGCAGCTTTTGACCTCCCCTCTCCTTCATGTCCCTAAGTGCCAGCATCGTTTAGATGCGAAGTAGATATCCTAAGTACTTACGTAACGTATAAGTATTTGTATTTTGTATTTATTGTAAAACTATTAAGATTATCTGCTGCTATATCAAATTTTGAACAACTGACCACAGGGAAGTCAGCAGCTCTCTACCACATACTTTCAAGCTAATGGATTAAATATTACTCTTATGACTCAGTCACAGCCTGAAATGCGGGAAGTGTTTTGTGTTACTGTACGTGTTTGAACCCGGCTCGGTAACTTTGAAATCCAGAGCGCTATACCACAGGGCAGCCTACGCCCTAACGTATAATTGTTGGAAGCGCAAATACATGTACTTATGTCAGACTCAGATGTTAGGAAGGCATCCAGTTGCGTACAGATACTACACGACGAATTACAGACAGAGCTACCTAAATAGTTGCTTACACAACAGTTTATGAAAAAACCTTCAGAAATTACAGACGGAAGAAAAGTTTAGTTACCCACATGGTTGTTGTAAAGGATGAGTTTCATTTTTTCGAAGTTCAAAGCGACACAAAGGGTTATATGCGCATAGCCATTCTTAATTTTGAATTGATAGGCTAAACGTAAAGCAGCTAATCAACAGCACCAATGAGCTACTCTTGTCTGACCGAGCAGTAGGATTTGATCATTACTGTTATAACGCACCAAGAACCTCAAAGTGAAGAGCCTTTGTTTGTGAGGCAAGGGGGACGCGAACAATTTACCTTCCGATGTACAGCCCTGGCACACTAATCACTAGATAAATAGGTATGTGTACTATGAACGAAATATTAGCATATTTCTACATATAATCTGTGAAAAGATGACATAGAAATATATAATTACAAGATAATCTTAATAAAAAAAACAGGTCTGTATGTTACTCGAAAAAAAGTAGCTCTTAATTTTAAATTAGATGTAATTAAAGTAGCTGATACATTATCGAAAAAATAAAACAGCGTATTAAAAGGTAGATGTAAAATAGTAGAAGGATTTATTTTTAAAAGCAAGGAAAGCAACTACTTATGTTAGAAATGTAAGAAAAGATGCTACTTATGTTAGTGACGTAAGGAAAGATGTTACTCATGATAGAGATGTAAGAAAAGATGCTACTTATATTAGTGATGTAAAGAAAGATGCTATTTATGTTAGAGATGTAAAGAAAGATTCTACTTATGTTAGTGATGTAAAGAAAAATGCTGTTTATGTTAGAAATGTAAGAAAAGATGCTACTTATGTTAGTGACGTAAGGAAAGATGTTACTGATGATAGAGATGTAAGGAAAGATGCTACTTATGTTAGTGATGTAAAGAAAAATGCTATTTATGTTAGAAATGTAAGAAAAGATGCTACTTATGTTAGTGATGTAAAGAAAAATGCTATTTATGTTAGAAATGTAAGAAAAGATGCTACTTATGTTAGTGATGTAAAGAAAAATGCTATTTATGTTAGTGACGTAAGGAAAGATGTTACTGATGATAGAGATGTAAGGAAAGATGCTACTTATGTTAGTGATGTAAGGAAAGATGCTATTTGTGTTAGTGATGTAAAAAAAGATTCTACTTATGTTAGTGATGTAAAGAAAGATGCTATTTATGTTAGAGATGTAGAGAAAGCTGCTACTTAAGTTAGAGATGTAAGGAAAAGTGCTACTTATGTTAGGGATGTAAGGAAAGATGCTACTTATGTTAGCGCGACGTAAGGAACGATGCTATTTATGTAAGGGATGTAAAGAAAGATTCTACTTATGTTAGGGATGTAAGGAAAGATGCTACTTATGTTAGCGCGACGTAAGGAACGATGCTATTTATGTTAGGGATGTAAAGAAAGATTCTACTTATGTTAGGGATATAAAGGAAGATACTATTTATGTTACAGATGTAAAGAAATCTGCAACTTAAGTTAAAGATGTAAGTAAAGATGCTACTTATGTTATTGATGTAAGGAAAGATGTTACTTATATTAGACATGTAAAGAAAGACGTTACTTAATCTATAGATGTAAAGAAATGTGCTACTTATATTACAAATGTAAAGAAATATGCTACTTACGTTAAAGATATAAGGAAAGATGCCATGTTGGAGACGTAAAAAATGTACTTTTGTTAGAGTTACAAGGAAAGATGCTATTTATGTTATTTATATAAAAAAAGATCCTATGTTGGAAACGTCAAGAACGATGATACTTACATTAGAGATGCAAAGAAAAATGATACTTATGTTATTGATGCAAAGAAAAATGATACTTATGTTATTGGTGAAAAGAAAAATGATATTTATGTTATTGATGAAAAGAAAAATGATACTTTTGTTAGTGATGTAAGGGAAGATGCTACTTATGTTAGAGATGTAAGGGAAGATTCTACTTATGTTAGAGATGTAAGGAAATATGCTATTTATGTTAGGGATGTAAAGAAAGGTGCTACTTACGTTAGGGATGTAAAGAAAGGTGCTACTTACATGACAGAAACTGGTAGCTCTTGTGATCTGAAATATACAACATACGTTTTAAACAACTGGAAGTTATGCAAAGTTATAAATAACAACATTATATTTACAAGGTAATGAGTGAAATATTCAGACACTGATTTACATTTGTTTATTGAGAAAAGATATGTGTTATGAGAAATATTACTACACCGTTTAACACATATTTTATCTATTTTGCCCTATAAGTACTCTCACTTCAGCCAAAAATACCCTTGTATTTTGTGCTTTTTTACTAAGATTATTACAGGTTATAACTTCCTTTGGGTTTTATTTAGCGTCTAAAATATTTCCTATTTTCATAATTAACATTATAAATCGTATAATATATTTTGTTTTATAACTGGTGCTTCATAAATAACATAATTACAGCTTGTAAATTCTTGGTATTTGGTGCTTTGTATTTAACATCCCTACAGCAACGAAAACATTGGCATTTGATGCTTTGTACAAACATAATTACACCTAAAATCGTTGGTATTTTGTTCTTTATAAGAAATACCATTACAAGCTGTAACACACTGTGATTTTATTATTTATGAATATTACAGCGCATAAAATTTGTGCCGTTTTATATTTGATAGTTAACAACACTACAGTCTGGTATGTTGTACTTTATAACTTACTTTAGTATGGTACGTATTCTTTATTTCTTACTTAGGTAAATAGCATCATTACGTTTGGGTATTTTGAGCTTAACAAAGAATATCTCTCAACATATATGACATTAGTTTTTCAATTATTATCGTATGTTAAGTATTGGATTTATAACGGTTTATAATATTCTGCAGCTCATCTCATTGCTATAATTTTATAATTGCTTTTTAACACTCTAAGTGGATCTGTGGCAGGTATAATGTTTTATTATATTTAGAATTCCATGTAGTTGATGAACTGTCTTATTAAGTAGCTTGTGTGTTTGTTTAATATCTTAAGTGTTTCATATAGAAGGTTAAATATTTTGCATATTGTTTTATGTACTTCGTTATTTCATCAAAAAATTCATTGTCTTGATAGAATATTTTATGTCTGTGACTCATTACTATATTTAGAAGGTTACATGGCTTATGTATTGTTTTATGTACTTCGTTATAACATCAGGGAGTTAATTGTCTGGATAGAATATTTTATATATGTGAATCATTATTATGTTCAGAAGATTATGTGGCTTGTATATTGGTTTATGTACTTTGTTATACATCAAAAAGCTCAGTGTTTTGATAGAATATTTTACATTCTACGTTACTATACCTAGATGCTTCTTCAGATGTTACAATGGTGTGATTAAAAGGCGGTAATACTTAACATATAATACTCCTGAACAGAGAAATCAATGTCTCGGGATACTCTAATTACCATTCACAATTGCAGCAGCTAAATAACTGTACTTAAGCTACGGCAAAGAATTAGAATCTTTATAACGAAATAAAGTATGTTACACAACACCTCTACAGAGCTACACTTAAAGCTGTGCAAGGGTCTAAATGTTCTTAATTTCCATTTAACTCAACCACACCAATAATCTTTTAACTTAAGTTTACTTCAAAATACTTGAAATATAATTAAAATTGATTTGTTCTAAATGGTAATTTCGCGTAAAGTTTTACTAAATTCTGTTGTATTAATTGTTAGCTTTATGGGCATTAAATTATACTTAATTATACATAAAATCAGGACTTTAATTTAAATTTCACAAAACAATTCTAACGATTTCTTTTGCTGTGTCGGTTTAAAAATAGGTTATTAATAAATACTTTCACAATGCAATGAACGAGGCATACTAAGTCACGTTCTACGCAAAGATACACATGTAATTCATATAGAAGTTATAAGTGTCTGTTGTTCCTTGAAGGCAAAATATACAGTTGAAAATTATGCACACTACACTTTTATTGCATGTAAGATTACTGACTCTTAAGTATCGTTACGGTCCACACTGCTAAAGGCAAAAACGCATTATAACCATTTCAGGGTAGGTAGGGAGAGAGAAGATAAAAATACTCACAAGTCCATGTAATAATGCATTTGTTCCAAGTTAATATGCACAATATTTCAAATCTGTGTTTAGTTAATTGCTTTGTGAAACTGAAAGAATCCAGTTTAACCAGAAGTACTTGATAAAAACCATCACATTAGAGTCATAAACATAGTATAACAATTTATAATAGTCACGTCATAACCGAAAACAATTTGTTCTTACATAACTTGACTCATGTTCTATAAATAGCATGGTTTGTGTCAACGTTGACAGGTGTTTTTCTGGACCTGCAAAGCGGCTCATAGAACTGCTCTGTTTTTTTTTTTTCTTTTCAAGTACGAACTTTCAGCTCATGGCTACGTCATATCTTGGCCGATTTGTTGAGATCTAATTACAGTCTTGGACTCAGGAGGTCAAACGCTTTGATTGGTGTATTTGACCATGCCTAAGGTCTCATAGATTAATCTACTCTAATCCTGCCTAAAAGAATTTCAATTTGAGGGTGGACAGGTAGAGATCCTAATGAGTAATAGAATTGAATCGTTTATAGGCGCGCCTCACGCTTGGTATTGCTGGCGCACAAAAATATAGCTAATAAAAAGGTCTCACATATTAATTTACTCTAATCCTGTCTAAAATAATTTAAAGTGCCGCGGCTATTGATGATTCGCCCTTGTATTTTTTTTATGGCTTATATAAACGTCAATGTATGTACTTGTCATTTTGCAATTTAATATTGCTTAGTCTGACGAAGATTACCATTATTGAAGACACATGCTGATATAATTAAACTCTGAATCAATAAAATGACAGTTTTTGCAAAATAAAAGCAAATGAACTAAAATTGATAAGTACTGTAGACATGGATACAAAATAGGGATTTGTAGCTCGAGAAAATAATGTAGACACTATTTCCAGCCTAGAGTGTTTACCTTTTTTTAGAGCCCCTAGTTATAGACTTGAAAATATAATCTTTGCACTTTGGTCCAACTTATTTCTGCACTTTTTGACGATCCGTATTTCCTTTTTTAAATTAAGATTTTTTAATTATCTTGTAAATATATTTTGGTATTAAATATTGGGGAAGTTGAATAAAAGTTTCAAATTTCATTACACGATTCAATACTGATGAATGTCAGTACTTGGAAAGACAAAAACATTAATATTTTAAAATACAAAATTAGTTGTAATAAATATCAATGTTCGATGAGCAAAAGTTTGTTATTTTGTATCTTAAATTTGGGGCTGAATGACATCTGAATTTTGACATTAAAGAGTTAGTTAATAGTGTTATGAACTTGTATGATACATTTTGGGCAGATAAAAGTGTGTACCAAAGTATATTATCTTAGAAGATAAATGTATGATTACTAAATGTCAGTACTTTGAATATGAAGAATAGATGCTAAGAAATTATTTTGTAATATAAATTTGGAACTGATAGACACAGGACTTGGAAAAAGAATCGATTTTGAGAAAAATGTATTGTTACGATAACTTGGGACTGAGAAATGTCAGTATTCGCTAAGCAAAAGTTTATTATTTAGTAGGATAAATTTAGAGCTGATATTTGTCAGTATTTGGAAGGAAAGGATGGTCAAATATAAGTTTATTACTTTGTAAGATAAATTTGAGACACACAAACATCAGCATCGAGAGTGATAGAGCAAAAATGTATTGACCTGTAAGGTAATATTAGGACTTTTAAATATCAGTATTTGGAAATTCAAGAACAACTACAGAAAACTTTAATAATCTACAAGGTACAGTTAAGGGGGGATATATTTCAGTATTAAATTTAAAATGTTTATTACTTTGTAATATACATTTGATACTGGTAGATATAAGTATTGTCTGTTTGTTTAGAATTAAGCACAAAGCTACACAATGGGCTAACTATGCTCTGCCCGCCACGGGTATCGAAACCCGGTTTATAGCGTTGTAAGTCCGCAAAAATACCGCTGTGCCACTGTGGGGGGGGGGCAGATTCAAGTATTTGAAAAGGGGATAGCAATTCAACAAAACTATATATATATATATATATATCTATAAGACAGATTTGGAACCCATAATCTTCAGTATTTATTAACCAAACATTTATTGGTTTAAACGATAAATGTGGGTAATGGTAAAATTACAGTATTCCAAAAACATTAGCTTATTCTTATGAAAGATACATTTTGGATTAATAAAAAATATAAGTTTATATTATCTGAAAGGTAACTTTGAAGTCGATGAAATCAGTATTAGGTTAATAAAAATAAAGATTAGTTGGGAATGATAAATTTTAGTATTTGGAAAAAAAAAGGTCGGTCAAACAAAGGTTTAGCGTTATAAATACATTAATAAGAGTATGACAAATTTCAGTATTTGCTGAACATATCGTTATTTTATAATAACATTTTGGAACTAATATCAGTAACTAAAAATGCAAAAACGACTAATCAAAAGTTTATTAATCTGTAAGATAAATTTCAGATGTTCTATTGATGAACAAAATTTCTGCATATTATAAAATAAATCTGAGAGAGACGTTTGCCATTATTTGGAAAGGTATGAGGAGCTGAAAAAATAAATTTAGAACTAATTACTCCCAGAATTCAAAAATGGAAAAGAAGTTTTCTAAAGATTATTATTTTAGAAATAAATGATAAACTATACGGATAATAATGTATCAAACTTCATATTTGAAAAAACTTAATACTTTTAATAATATATTAAGTTGATAAAATACTGAGATAGGGATTAATTTACTGAAGTATATTCTTTTTAAAGAAAAATATTGAAATAGTATTGTTAATCTATAAAGAAAACAATAAAATGAAAAATGCAGCCTTACCAATTTTTTTAGAAATATTTATTTGAAGCTAATAATTTGTTTGTTTTGTAATTAAGCACAAAGCTACACAATGGGCTATCTGTGCTCTGCCCACCACGGATTCTAGCGTTGTAAGTGGATTTAGTCATTGTATTCAACATGTGGACTTCTATGGACTTCTGCGTTTTTAATGATTTCAAAACGACATTTAAGCTCCATGCTGAGTTCTTTATCATCTGAAGGACTCAGCATGGAGCTCTAAACATCTTCTCGAAATCAAGAGAAATAGAAAGAGAAGTCAATAGAAAACTCAGTCAAAATAATACATTTTTAGAAGAAGCAAGTTCCAGTCCACAAAGCGTATTTGGAAAGCGAGATGCAGGTCTAACAAATAGTTAAATGTGAAAGACAAATGACAAACTGATAAGTATCAATATCTGAAAAGGAAAATGCTAGGCTATCGAACGTAAGTGTTAAAAAATAGAGAAAATTTCCTCCAAAATTTGTAATTTAGAAAAACATGTTGACGTATTTGGAACAGTATTTGTCAGTGTCTGGACAGGATAAATTTAACAAACATTAATGTGTAGAATGAAAAAAATGACGTCTCCCAAAGTTTGTTACTTTGAAACACATATGATGAAGTAATAAGTATCAATATTTGAAAGATGATTGGAGGTTTAACAATATTCAGTTTTTAGAAGGAAAATACCGGAATTCGAAATATTTCTAACTTATAGTTATTTAGGTTTTTTTCATTACATGATTGAGTTTTTCATGTCTGTTAAATGACCTACTGTACTGTAGAAGTTCAGTAAAATTTGGACCTTCTATATTGCTGAGGCTCGGTAAACAACCAGTACTACTGCTTCCAAAGAATTTCTAAGCATGCGTTCATTGCTTTTATGCACAATTTATTGGTGCTATATCACTTTTTTTTTGTAAGCGAAAGATATGTAAAGCGTTGAATTAGCTTTGGAATAGACTGTTTTGGAAGAACATCTCTCTTCATAAAAAACTCTCGGCGTTTTATAATATACATATTTCTCTCTACCACCAAATGCTGGTGAGGAAAATATGACGGAAAAACTTCCAAACGGCACGTTTTTTTTAGGAATACTTAGAAGCTAAATGAAAACTACAATGTATTGATGAAAAACAAAAAGACTGAAAAACGCTATTTTTAACATGTTTGTTCCAATTTTTTTTATGTCTCGTCAGGTATGTTAGAGGCAATTTTTAACACTTCAAGTAATAAATGATTTCTCACCTCTCTAACTTTGCGATGAACCAGAACTTTGTGCCACTGGTTATCATCAAAACGCACCCTAGCGGGGCGAACAGTTCTCTCAACAGACCCGGATCCCAGTCTGATGACCAACACTACACCTCCATCCCGTAGCAACAAACCCATGAAATCTTCTCCGTCGTTAGTGTAGAACATTAGGCCATTGGGCTGGCGAGTCTTGAAGAAGATAGACACTTCGTCGCTTGAGCTGATGATTGATTGCCCTCCTCCTGACCTCAAGTCATAAGTAAGGAATTCTGAGCCCCGAAAAGTAGCCTCAGATGGAGACTTATCTAAAAAATAAAAAATTAAATCTTATCACAGGTCAAGTATATGGCTATAAAACCAGAATATCAATGAACCAGATTATTTAGTGTAAAAAATGTAAAAGTACATCCTCCATCTACTATAGGTGTGTATATATATTCCATTGTAAAAACGAAGAAGTATATCAGTCTTAAATCCATCTTGTATAAGTCTGTAGTTATATTGTAAAGCCTCCTAATGTTAATCAAATATAAGAGTGTTATCTCTGGCTAGTATGTGCATATAGTCGTTTATGTTTCTCCTAGTGTTTTATAAAATATTTACTTTCTCATGTACTGATATCTTTGTATCATCTAGTATAGGTACTTAGCCTTGCATTTTTAGTACCAGCAATTGTGTGAATGCAATAACATATTGATGTTCAAACACCATATAATGCGAGCATGTAATCACTAGACACTGGGCAACTTTAATAAGGTCTTAAAATATTATTGGCAAACACTGCAGAAGTAGTTTAATTATAATTCGTAAAGTATTAACACACTGAGCTGTTAACACGGAACTGCTCCACAAAGGCCCTTGGCATGTAACACTTTCTAGCTTATGAGAGTATCTACAGTATCATAATTGCTGAGTTAATGTTTAGGTCCACCTTAACAGCGAGTACGTCCTCCCCAGAATGGTCAGTAAAGCTGAACACACCGCTGTATATTTTAGAGGGAATTCTATTTTGTAAAGTCAGTCCATTCCCTCAGCAAGGTGTTTTCCACATGACCCAGTTTGTCTGTTGAGTGAGATGGACGTAAAACCCCTTGTTGAAGCTTGTTCCGTGTGTGTTATATTGGGCAAAAATAATGCTTATTAGTCTTTTCACGCAATAGTTTTCAGTTCAAAATAGGCGGTGACAATATTTACAGAGAGATGACGTTGATTAAATCATCTCTACTGGCACAAAAGAAAGGCTTGACCATGACTGCTATGTTCTCGTTCTTATAATTCACAGTATTTACAGCAATATTCCCAATGACGTACTAATGTCTCCCATATCAACAGAGAGGGTCACTCCCGAACCTACTTTGCTCAGTTACTGTACGGTTGGGATTATGGCTACCAAATTCTCAACACCCATAATGAAAGCCGTCATGGAAATCAAGACAGAACATGGGTCATGTATATTGGGTCAGTTGGAAATACCTTTCCGAGGAAAATGGGATAATATGAAATGCCAGAGTGTCGTTGTATGTTCACAACCTGGCGTGTTATGATTTTCGTTTATGGGGGGGGGGGATAAGTATCGACTTTTTAACATTTCCTAAAGACAGATATTATGAAGATATGTTTGCATCTTGTATTGTTTCATCTATAATTTGTTTAAAATACCTGTTCCTTTTATTTCATATAACAACAATATTAATGAAACAAATATTATTCATCAAGCTGGTACAAGCCTTACTTTCCTTGTTACTATTGTACACAAGTAAATTACCTTCAAAGTCATTCAGTGCTTATTCGTGGAATAGTTTTATAGTACATTTATCTATTTTAAATAACTGAGGAAAACATTGTGTGGATTAATTAAGAAAAGAAAATTATACAAGTCTACTTTTTGGGAGTGTATCTACATGGCAGAATGTTCAAAACATCATGTTAAATATTTCCCACTTAATTGACAGATTGTTTGTTTGTAATTAAGCACAAAGCTACACAATGAGCTATCTGTACTCTGCCCACCACAGGGTGTACTATAATTTTTCAAGTAACTTTATGCTGTCTATTTTTCTTTAGATTTTATCAATTGCAAAATCACGATATATTTATCAATTGCCGGATGACTAAATAAAGAACTCGCATATATAATTTGAGAGATGCTTGGTTTGGTTTTGTTAAAATTCGTGCAAAGCTACTCGAGAGTTATCTGCGCAGCCGTCTCTAAGTTAGAAATGATGAACTAGAAGGAAGACAACTAACTTACTCAACACCACCCACTGCCAATACTAGGCTACTCTTTAATAACGAAAAGTGGGATTGACCGTCACAATATAATGCTCCCACGTCTGAAGGGGCGAGCATATTCGGTGACAGGATTGCAAGTACTTTAACATCCATGCCATGCCAAACTCTCTGAAAGATATATAAAAGCGGAAACTACGGAGGTGAGTAATTTATAACGTGGGGATATTTGTAAGAATTAGTGTATGGGAGTTACACTTCTGAACAATAACATTAAAGTTTATTTGAAGTTAAGCACAAAGCTACACAATGGGCTATCTGTGCTCTGGCCACTCGGGTATCGAAACCCGGTTTTTAGTGTTATAAGTCCGCCGACATACCACTGTGCCACAACATTAAAAAATCACATGTTTAAGATATGGAGCAATATGCTTGAAAATGATCAAATGAAAATTGTATCACGCATGTTAAACAAAAATATTACTGCTTGGTTTATAATGAATGGTAATAATTGTAGCTAAACAGCGTCTACGTTTAATAACATGACGAATTTAATAAAAAAAACACTTTGTAAGATAAACTTTCACATTATTATGTTATCACTTCATTTGGTTGTTTTAATCTTAATTTATTCCTGTCTTTATCTAAATATTACTGAACTATTATTTTTTTCAGCAGCCCACGCTATTATTGATATCGTAGTAAGAACAAAATAATATTGATTGATGTGAGATGATTATTTTACGTCTAATTTTGGTTGTTTATAAGATATCGTGTATTACGTAAATTTATTATGCTGACATTTTCTTGCATATTCTGTCTTATCTAAATTTTACCTTATAAATGAAATACAAAAACAGTTGGTTTAGATTATAATTAACACAAAAGTTTAGTTTATTGTTATCATTTGAAATCCTTTATCTGAACAATCTGAAGAACAGTTTTTTTTATAGCTGGAATCAAGTGTAGTGAATTGGCCTACAATCTATGTGATAAAATATTTCACATATTTTGTTTTATTAGATATGAACAAGCAATAGCAAAAAAGTTTTGCCAAAAAATAATTTATTTACTTTCTCTAAAATCAAGTTACCGTATTTTT